CAATTGATATAATATACTGACCGAAAGAAGTCTAATGAAGAAGAAGACATGATCAGCCAAAATTTTGCATATTGCCTAGGCAAACTCGGAGATCAGGCAACAGTAGGATCAGCAAAAGAAGGCGGCTGGATTAAGTTAACATCTTTAATTTTAAGAAAAGAAATCGCAAGGAGACCAAAAAGGAACAATCAAAAACGAAGAGGAGATGTCTACAGTGAGGCTAATAAAATATGTAGAACCACATCACTTATGGGTTAGCGCACAAGAGACTAGGTCATAGAAATGCATAAACTCGGTATAATGGATAAAAGCACGATAAATGCGGCAGACTAGATCTGGTTGACCAGCAGTAGAAATGTGTTTGCTTATCTGGGAATGTACCACGTCCATGGTCCGACTCTGGAAATTATCATTCATTCTATGGACTCCAGACTAGGTGTGTTCCTCTAGGTCTTCCTCCCAATATGACCAAGTTGCGGAAACAAGGTCAAACAATTACTGCTGTGGGGACTTTTATTTCGTATGAATGTGCATGGGGAAGAGATTCGTATGTCGCTCTCACCAGAAGAGGACGGATGAATCCCGTTGTACTGTTCTGGTGAGACTCTTCTTCATGCACTTTATATGAAATGAAAGCCCCCCAACAATGTTATCTCAGATTATTAATCAAAACCCAGTTTCTCTTCGTAGCTACCAACATCTAGTATACAATGAAAGGAGACTACGGCCATACAAAAGGTCACACCATCTTTGTTATCTTACCTTCGATTCCTATGGATTTCCTATCCTATTTATTAATCTTTTGTTATTTTTATTTTATACATATATTTTTCCTATTTATGTGTTGCTCCGTGTTCTTAATTATCCATCTCAATTTTTATCCTGTGTACTTTCTGCAAACTTTATTCCTCTGAGTCACTTTGAAACCCAGTTCTTCTACATACACTTGCATATTTTTGTATGAATGAATTCATTCTCTATTTTTCGATTTCCCCTATCGTATTCATTTCCTTTAGCATTTCTTGCCGTGCCCATTTGATTTTGCCTTTTGGGTCTTTTGTTTACTGTCTATAAGTATTTATGTCTGCTAGGATATTTCCATTTCCCTATATCTTCTTTTCTGTCCACCACTATTATGAAACCTATTTGCAGAACTTTTTGATTCTTTCTTTTCTATTATCCATATATCTCGGTTATATTATTTCTATACATAGATTCTTGTTGCTCCAAGATTGTTGGTATGATTTCTATTTCTAGCTTTCTTCTGGATTCCCTTGATAGCTTCTTGGAGGCATTAATCACCATTTTAATGTCTTTGATTGCCTTCCATTTATTACTAAGTGTAAAATTTAGTTTATTCTTTAGGATCCCCATGGTTTTGAGGTCAAGAGGGACGGAGCACATTTTTATTATTTTATCTTGTTCACTTGTCTGGACAATTAGATATGTTATTTTAGAGACACCTTCGTCTGAAGTACTTATCAACTTTTAATCTATCATCTGTTGTTTAGGGGAATCCTCCGGAGTGAGAATCCGACTCAAATCAGGCATTAGTCTAGACACAATTTCTAAAAACGTAAATAATTTTCCCTATCATATGTTTTAGAATTTTTGTAGAGAAGCTTCATTTGATATATCTTTGATCCTGTCGGAATGATAATTTCTTATTAAATTGCAAAACTATACCGGATGCCATATCGTTTACCACAGTTAAGAAATGTCAAATGACCAGATTAACCTACGATTTCCTTGTTTTATCTTCTATCATTAGTTAATTGTCTGGCAATATTACCGCCGTTAGATCGTAGCTATAAATACCAAGATGTGGCCTTTTCTTTGGTTGCATAACTTTTGGAGCCTCTAGAATCCAAATCGGGCAACTTTATGTAGCCAATCTAAAACTGTGGTTTCCTCCATTAAAATGCACAGCTATCTTACTGAATGATTGTTACACATTCTACCCATACTTACCTTGGATGTGACTAGTTCATTCCTTTTGATGATGTGTAAATTCCTCAAATGGATTTGGTATACTGACTGTGAATTCGATTACCCTAGGTAATCTCGATGATTCTGATAATACTCTCTTTCATATCAATTTATTGAAGATAGATTCTGTTGTCTTGCCATCGTTACTTTTATTCATGGCCTCTAGACCATATTAAGAAGGAATTGATTGCCCTTCTTAAGTTTGATAATATATATTTTGGCAAGATGGCTTTATGTCTGCCTTATATAGTTATTTGGTAGTGTTCAATTCGAGTGCATATAGATGAAAACTGTAGTTTTTACTTTCGATTATATTTTAGCAATTTTTTCTGGCTTGCAGTTGGCACAAGCTAATCTCCGCCAGTATGATACCCACTGGACTACACCCTATATCAGTAATACTGATTATTGAAAAATAGTTGGATATCATATAATCACAGTAGAATAATTTGTTTCGGTTTTTATTTCCTTAATCTCTTATTGAATGAACTCGAACCATATCGGTAATAAAATGCTTTTAGAATTTTCAGCATCATTTTCATCGTTAAAATTCCTTGTTCTACTTATTTTCCCTTTATAGTAATTTGTTCCATTTATTCAGCCTAATATGATTTCCTTAGGACCCTTGCATTTGGTTTTCAAGTTCATCCATGCATTTTTTCTTAATTTCTTTCCCTACATATTTGCAAATGCGGATCAATTTTAAAGTCATTCCTCGTCAACTGGGAGCCTTAACATCACTTCAAATCCTCCCGGACGCCGCCGTTTTGGCCGTCCGCCCAGCTGCTCTTCATCTCTCGAGCTTCGTCGATTGCTCGATTTGTCTACTTCTAGACTTAGTGACAGACATCTTAGCGAAGTTGATCCCTATCTTGTAGGTAGAGACACCCACGACTCGAAAATCAATTTTAAAAAGTTTGAACAGGATAAAATTTCAGTAAAGGAAGAAGATGAGGAAGAGGCAGATGCTGGAGAGGATACTGACTTTAAAGTGAAAAATGATAAGGGGAATAATGAAGAAAAAGGAGTTGAAGATCAAGAGGATGAAAATAGTATGTCTTCCAGTGTAGAGTCTTGTCAATCTGATCGAGTTGACACGGCCCGAGCTTCAAGCGGCCTTGCCTCAGATACACAACTTGAAGGCAAACGGCAGCGGCGACTTCGATCTCCGGCGGCCAACTTTTTCGCTACTAAATATCGATTGCCTAGGAAACGAGCTGGCAGGCGCCGTGGCCATGCAAATTCATATTTGTCTACCGAAGGGCTTAGGGATAGTGCTCATATTGCTTCATCCGTGGGCAGGCCCGCCCTTTTTACTGGGGGCCAGCGACGCCGCTCCAGTGGCTCTAGCCTAAAGCCATTGTGCGCATTTGGGCTGGGCAGACGTAGTCGGGGAAGGCGAAGTGGGTATTTGTTATCGAGTCGTGGTGCCTTTAATCGCGAAGCGGACAATACATATACCTATAGGCGGGGTGTTGGTCGACTCGGTGGCCTAGGAATTAGGATTAGGCGTAGAGGAAGAGGTGGCAGTGGTCTCGGGCTGCGCTACGTAGGACCAGAAGAGGATGAGGAAGAAGACGTTGAGGGTATGAGAAAGAAGCCAGTGTCCACTGGTGAGGATAGTGAGAGCGAAGGCAACATCAGCCCAATTGATGCTGAAGATGAGAGCAATGAGGAAAATGATGCCGAAGGAGATGGGAGCACAGAAGCCGATGCTGATGGTGAAGATGTGGAAGAAGCGCAAGAAGAAGCTTGTGCGGTCGGAAGACTTTGTAGATTCCCAATTCGACAGTCCACTGGAGCAGGCTCGGTCAAATGGATTGCGTGTGACCACTGTGAACAATGGTATCACCAGCTCTGCGTTAATATCAAGCATAAAAGTCAGGTGAATGTCGGCATCATTATTCTTATTTTTTTAAATTAATATATATACCGAAAATATTTATGCTTATGTTTAACTCTGTAACAATTAGATTTTTAGCTAATACGTATGATAGCTGTATTCATCCTAGGCTTAATAGTATTAATAAGAACTGATGGTTGAATTTTCCTACAATTATATGAGTAGGCTACATGATGCCGTTGAATTTCACTTAGCCTAGCCTCCTGAAGGTATTCTTATTGTGGGTTGACTTCAGTTTAGGCATCGACGAGGCCCCTTCAGCACACCTAATAACAATTGAAACTAGGTGGTGTAGCGCTTATTTTCTACATGTTACCACATCCGCTCCACTGCCCTTTCCCTTTGATCCAATTACATGCATTTAGGACAAGCATGCGTCATCCAACCAAATCATGAAATGCAACGTTGGGTATAAGGAATAAGATATCAGCTGGCCACCTTTCTCTGTTTAGTGTTTTTGGTGATTTTTCGTGAATAATGGTTTCTGACTCTGCCGATGTCCGTCACAGGACGGACAAAAGCTTAGCACGGACTCATTGTGATCGTAAGAAGGTGAGCCGAGGTCTTCACACAATTCAGCAGATAAAAGTCCAAGGCAACCCTTCTGCGGTATCCGTTATGGGTAATCTACAAATCCCTTCCACCCGCATTCCCAAACCAAATGAAAAGTACGCTAGTTAATTTTGAGTGTTTATTCGACCTTGTTTTCGCAACTTGGTTGAAGTGTTAGGGAGACCTTGTGGAACGTACCTACTCACGTGTCCTCCATCATAGTATTCATGATTTCCAGCATTGTACTATTGGCTGGGCACATTCCCAATGTTTCGCTGACATCGTAGTCGACATCGTCAGTGAAAGTCGCCATCGTAAGATCAAAATAAAAACTTAATAAATTGGCAAGTGAAGGAAATCCTCTTGACCAATTTTCTGGTCACCCGTTGTGGCATCGCTCCTTGCCTCTATTTTGTGTTCAACCTTCTAGTGCCACATCTATTTCTCTCAACTCCACTTCATATGACCTATCCACTTGTTCACACAATTCTGTGCTCTCGTTTCCTTCAATGTCGCCTAAGAGTGTCGCTACAAGTGGGCTTATTGACGGGTAATCATCTCCACCACAGTACAAGATGCCGTTTGCAGGGCTCGTGACTTTTATTCTGCCCCCACTTTTTTCTACCTGGTTATAAATTGGCCGCTGCTAAACAGAAAAATTACCGTAGTTGAATTGAATATATGAAGGACAAGATGTTGTGGCCTCTGTTATGGTCGCAGTCTCCTTTGGATTTATAGAAGTGGGTTGACCTCGTCGCAATTTGGTCTCGTTGTCAGGTCGACTATGTAGAAGGCACCTTGTCCGAAGTCGTCTGCCATAAGTGTTGTCATGATTCCCAGCATCTGACAGTGGACTTAATACATTCTCAAACGTTTCGCCGGCATAATCAGTTAGCTTTGCCATTATCCGCACCAAGCTACGAACTCGTCAAAGAGACAAGTGAAGTCGATCCCTCGACAAGCGTTCTGCCGAAAACGGTTACAGTATCATTCCTCTTTCTGTATTTGTCTATCTATCTACTCTTTACCCTCTTATCCCACTGTCGCCCTATCACAACTTCTCACTTGTTTACATTCCCTATCTATCTACTCTTTACCCTCTTCTCCCACTGCCGCCCTATCACAACTTCTCACTTGTTTACATTCCAATCGTCAAAATGTGTGCTCTTTTGTGGCAATTCTAGTGTGGCCTTATCACACTTGCTATTGACCATCAACCCCTCTCTTTCGATCGGCTGATCCGACTCGGGCCTCCAATCCGGATCCCTTCATTGTCTCGTAGATACGTTCCTTATCACTCTGGTTGACCGATTTCATTCGGTTCCAGTCCCAGTGTGTATTTTACTCCAGGCGCTATTTCTCAAGGCTCTAGAAGTACCTACGCTGCCGCTTCACTGAGCAGAGCGCCTAAGCTCTGATTGCCATGATTGCAGATATCGTGCCTTCCTTACACTGTCGTCTCCTTGATTAAACCCATGTTATCTGAGCAAAATGTGGACGCCTATCTCTGGTCGCATGCGGCAT